TGGATAGAAGTTGGTTTTGGTTGAATAGATGGATGAATAGTTGAATAAACGGATAGATGGATAGATGGATAGATGGATGGTTAGTTGCTCAGTAGTGAATGTTTGTCAGGAGGTAACCGAAGCATCATAGTCGACAAAAACGTAATAAGCTGCTTCAATAAATTTATTGAGAGGCCCAACGAAACTAAGGTTGATTTTAGACAGTTGTTGCTTTATTTTTCAATAGCATTAGCACTCAAAAAATATCATCCCTGGTTGCTTTTGTGTGGCTTTTGTCCAAAGTTTCTTCAATGCTTTTCGATAATTATTCCCACTATTCTGTATGTATAATTTTTTTTTTGTCTTCCACTATAATTCGATTTTCTACAACTTTTTAGTGTGCTCTGTTTGCAACAATTTTCAAATAATACATTTTTATATCATAACTTTTTTTAACTTCATTTTTTTTATAACTTCATTTTTATATCATAACTGAGTTTTGTCGTTCTTTTTTTTTTCTTTCGCTCTGCTAATCATCGATGACTTTATTAAAAATTTTTTATTGTAAATTTAAGCATAAAGAATGTTGCCATTTATTTCTCATTTTTTATTTTTTTTTTCTGATTCATAGATGTGTTAAAAAAAGTTGAAAAAAAAATCCGCGTAAAATAATGACAATAACAGTGTTTTATAGGCAAGAGAATTTTTCCGTTGGGGTTGAGAAAAGCTTTTTTTTCTTTGTTTTCGTTAAGATTAGTGTTTTTTAACTCCAACTTTTTCTTTCTTGTTTTTTTCAGCGTTTATCTGGCTTGCTATCGAGCATATTGCTAAAAATTTTAAAAGATAGATGAAAGTAAAAAAAATCAGAGTGATAAAAAAAAAAAAAGAAAGAATGGTTGCCAGTTGTCCATGATGTGAAAATTATATATATCAATATCAAACAGGCAAAAAACCTAAATAAAACTTGCTTTTTGATAACGCTTTATCTATCGCTGCTTTTTCACCACTTCCCTCGTTCTATTCTTAAATCTATGATGTAAACATCTGAAACAAAAGATCACAATAATTAGACAAGTTTGGCTTCTTTATTTTTCCACTTTCTTCTTCTTTATTTAGTTTACGAATTCTTATCTTGCACATGGAACATTCTGATGGTGATCGCTTATCGGTTCCCGAATAAAATCGACCAATATACAGTACTTGTTTGTAAAATTAATCGGGCAACATCATGATACTCCACCAAAGTACCTGTAGACGATATACCTGTAAACCCTAACGAATATATATATATACATATATACATATATATATATATTCATAACCTGATATCAACAGTCATATTACATGCTTTTGGTAGCTGATAAATTAGAAGAACACTGACAACAATAATTGTTGTTTGATCTCACTGCTTCAACATTTCTGTTTATTCATACAGTTTCTGTTATTAGCCACTGCAGTATAAATATACCAAAGAAAACAAAAAAAACTGTTTTTGTTTTTTTCTTTCTGATACAACAATGTTTTCGAAAATAAAACGATCCAATGATTCATCCGGAACAACTAGCAAAAGTGGTGGTGGTGGCGGTAACGTTGGCACGTCATCACCGTCATCATCAAAATCATTTTCTGGACTATCATATTTACCAAAATTACCAAAAACTTCACGTATACCATATTTATCGGGAATTTCAAGTCGTAGTAAAAAAAAATATTCTGGTAACAAATCATCAACATCATCATCACCAGCGACTGCCTATGACAATGGTATATTGTCAATGCCTAGATCATTATCATTTTCCAATTATAAAACTGGTGGAAAATCTGATGCAATCGCAATACCGGGATCAAGTTCATTTCATACTTGTGGGTCTGTACCATCATCATATCATCGACGGGATGCTGAAGCTGAAAAATCACCATTTTTTGGCAGTTTACCACGACTAAAAACTTCTGATACCTATTTTGAACCGTACACTACAGCAGCCGGTAACTATCAACGACAGTCGTCGACGACACCACATTATCGTTCTGAAACACCAATTTCCAGTTCATCGTTATGCAATGAAATAGCAGCATTTTTTCATGAAAAAAATTTACAAAATGTTGATGACGAAGCTGAAGTATCGTCTCGGACAAGTGTACAAACAGATTATGGACTTACAGATGATTATCGGAACAACAGATGTAAACCAATTGTTTTACGTCGGTCATCATCAAACAGTGAAACAACACCAAAATTGGCTCATCGGAGTTCCAGTGAAGGTTAGTTGCAGTTCAATATAATTTCATTGTTTCCTTCTTTCCGTTTCTTTTTTTTTCTTATTAATAACTCTCATTTCAATTGAAAAAATTCTTCTTTTTTTTAATGTAAAAAATATAACATTTTTTCTTTATTAAATAGATATTTAGATTTATATTTATTTATTTTCATTAAGCATTAAGACCAAGGTCGACAACTTTCTATAGACTGCTGCCGCCTTATCCATTAATCTATCAATAAAGCGCTGTTTTTTTTTTTTTTTTTTTTTTTTT